GTATTATGTGGTATAAATATCAACCGAAATTGTTGCTGAAGCCGATTCACTATGCTAGACCCTTTGATAAAAATTCTTTTGAAATATTTTTTAGTTGCTAAATTAAAGTTATTTAATTAGTTCTTAAATTGCCAGGAATAAATTTTTGCATTGATCTATAAAACAATTTTGAATAATAATTTTATATGATTTCTTATACATTGTATGGTACCTACTTCCTTTTTATCATAAATTATTATCTTCAATATACCTTAAGGGGACATTCTATAATGTCACTTCACTGTCTTTTTTCATTGAACAGCTGCTACTATAGTTTAAAGGATCTGGGACAACGATATACCGCTAAAGTGCTCTACAACGAAAATTGATTCATAATTATAATAGCCTGCCCTCATATTTTACTCGTAGTTCATTTCATTGGAATAATACTATTACCAAACAGTATTATCGAGCAAAGAGCTCTATCTAAAATTCTAATCATTATCTGGGTTTAGTTCAATAAATCTAAACATTTATCAACTATCGTAAGATTCAAAGACCTTTCCCTTCCTATTAAAAAATTTGTCTTATATTTTCTTTTACTACAACAGAATAATTCAAATAAATGTGGAAAATTTGCAATCTTCAAAATTTATTAATTAAAAGTAGGTATTCAAATGAAAAAAAATGTCACACATTAACAGAACAATGTAGAAAATACGAGTGAAACAGATCATTTAATTAAAATTAAATTGTAAATCATACGTTGGGTTAAAGATTCGTCCCCTTCATGCGAGAGTTAATTAACTTTTTCATCATTAAAGGCGGCTATAGTCGTCCAATACAAAGAGCGTTTTCGTTTCTAATTAGCCAGCATACAATGAAAATTTCAGAATAACGATTACATATAAAAGTCCTTTTACAAAAAGCACCACGTATATAAAATTCGACGAGTTAAATTAGATTCAGTCAAATACTTTAATATTTAAATTAATATGGTCACATTATTTGACAATTAATAAAGATTTCAATAAAACACGTGTTAAATTTTATGTCGAGCAAATCGTTAATCAATCCCTACAACCAATTACTTTGATAAGAATTTGAAATTAGAAGGAATTACCTTGTAACAGTTCAAACGCGATAAGAATTTCGCTGGGGATGGAAGTTGCGGATCGTTAATCAATTTTCACATTTACGTGGCGAGAAAGGGAAAAGTCGTTAAGCGTCGTTGTCGCCATCAATAGTGCTTAAGTATTCCGGGCATATTTGCAAAGCTGAAACACAGTGACTTAGTTATTTCGCCAAGCCAACCTGTTATTGGTGTTGCGTGAGTTAATCGATGAGCGTTTGCACACTGTGAGATATAGATGTTCAACGTCAAAATTAATTAATTATCACTTTCTACAAACTACTTTGCGACACATAAGCAGTTTACTAAGCTTAGAGCAACGTACCAACAGTTCTAAATTACTTTCTCAGCACGAAATGTTCCTTTATAATTTCGGTCATCAGAATAAAATTAAATTAAACGTATGAGTATTTAGTTTTCCAATAAACTAACTCAAATTTAATTTTAATTGTATAATTAATTTTAATTGTGTTTCAGATGGCGGACCATGGAGAGAATCAAAATTATAATTCAATTTTGTACTATGCTTCCCTATGTTTCCTTTTAAAAACTTTATGTTTCTAATGAAAGTATCATAGAACTTTGTTTTTAAATGTTTTTTAAATTTACATTAGAGCATGGTTTAAAAACAGCACCCATATTGCTATCTAGCGGCGAATGGCAGAACTAAGAGAGCCGCAAAATACATATTTTTATAAAATAAATAAATTTCGAATCACTGACCACAAAATCTTATAGAATCAGTATTAAACATAACTAACTACTTTGTTTTAAGGACAATAAGTTAATGTTAAGTGTGAATAAAAAAGAAGTCTATAAATTATCTAATCTTCAAACCATTATAATGAATCTACAGATTTTTGTTAAGCTTCTAGTACCTATGTATAAATAAATTATTTTTTTAAAAAAGCACTTAATTTTATAAAGCGTTAATTTTACCGCCTACCGTTAGATATCGCCACCAGAACCTTTTTAAATTGTCCACTAATACAAATTTAAAACATATATTTTAAAAAAAGGCTTTCATAATATTCTCAATTAATTATTAAATTAATTACCATAAGATATGAATCTCTCACGTGTTACTGTATTCAATCAAAATGTTGAAAAAAAAAGAAAACAATTAAATTTATTTTCTCAATTCAACCAAAAATTTATTTCTCATCTTGCAACTGTGAATTTTACGTTATTTAATTTGTTAGAAATTTTGGGTCGCAAACATTGGACTACTTTCATGATCAACTATAATTCCTCGCTCTAAGGAAGTTTCCTTCCTAATATAATGTCTTTCTTGGATGGATTCTGAGACAGTCGGTGATTTCACGGTGGCGAAGCTGTGTCTGCAGAAACACACGCAGAACACGTGCGTAATGGAATTCAGCAGGATAGGAGTACGCCGTTATTACATACCAAGTCTCCTAACGGAAACAATTTCGACAGACAATTTCTATTCGAGATTAGCGTAGGCAAGTGTTCTTGTGTTATGCGAATAAGTCGAATCTGCTGATATCAGCATGAATGAACGCAGACAACGTAAACATATAGAAACTATGGTAAATCAACAATCAAGAGAAAATAGAAAAAATTACATCTCTTTCCTAGTAATTAGAGAAGAAATTGAATTGCTATAGTAAAATTTGAAAATTTTATTTTAATCTTCACTAACTAATTAGAATTTTATGTAAAACTAATTAAATCTAATGCAATCAAAGTAATAGAGATACTCTATTTACAGTAGAATTTCGAACTAATAAAACAAATTTTAAATTCAACAAAAATGATCTATCAAAGAAATTAACATTATCCAATAATAGTGATTATTTTAATGAAATATTATTCTGTCAAGAATGACTTACCATTATACAAATATAATTACTTACACTGGAACTACTTCTGCATTGTTTGCATTCAACTTGTTTGAACAGTATAATGGGAAGTTAGTTTTCATTAGCACATACGAAGATTCATTATGGACATATGGTACGTAAATCAACTCAAAATCTCATACACCAGAATCCTATCTCGAATTATAATCCAAAGAGATTGTATCTTGAATTTTTCTTGTATAAAACATTTGAACCATTGATCAAATAATAACAGTGACTGATATAATTAACAATACGTGCTCTCTGAGATTAGGAAAATTTACTTGTCGTACCAGAGAGGCCAGAAGCTCTGTAGTTAATTGAAGACCACCAGTACAACCGAATCTGGATCAATAGATAAACGATATTCAATTAGACAAAGGAGATAAACGTTAACAAGCTTCTGATTTCATCTTTGATATCTTTGTGTTCTACATACCCTACTGTCCATGATTTAATTAAATAGAAAGCGAATAAATATTGCCTGGTTGAACAAAGGAACCTCTGAGATCTGCATTTATAGAATGTTTCCCTTTCTTTGCAAAGATGTACATTGATTTTATTGGGAATAAAGAATTACACAATCAGAGCGATGGTGCGGATAGAACCTAATAAAACTCACGAAATAGCGGTTCGAAGAGAGTTTGCAATGACAAAGGGGGAAAAGCTCTACTTTCTCTCGTAATTTCCATACATCAATAAAGAAAATATCGCGAGCCACGATCGATGGATATTTTTGGAGGAATGCTTTGATAGCTCAAATATCTTTAGTGTTTACAATATTTTAATGAAAAATATATTTATTGCAAAATAATTATCATATGGATATTATATATTCACATAATTATTAGTCCTTTAATGGTCTAAGAAAAATGTTTATTGATTGACTAATTAATTACTATGGCTAGTCTTATTAAAGCATTAACACTTTGACTGTCACAGTTGAAATTCTAATTATTAAGAGCAAAAATAGTCAATTTATAAATTCAACTATACAATTTGTTATTATAATCCAAAATTTATCTTCTCTTTTTATTTATCAATTGTATGCTACAGAGAATTTGAGTTGTCGGTCACCAGTGTCTCTTGTAACAGTCAAAGTCTTGAGTAAACCTGTTCCTCTCATTTCATGTTCGATCTGAGTTTGTTAATCAAGAGCTAGCTGTTTCGAAATAGCCTATAATTGCGTCTGTAATAGTATTCAGTAGTACAATGTGGAAACTTTGTCGATCATGGGGTCGCATTAAACGTAGAATGCAGGTAATGTCACGGTAATTAGTTCAACGGCTCTTAGAATCCGAAAGGGAATAGTAACAGTAATAAATAATTGAGAATACGACCTGCTGGTTTTAGAAGTTTGTTCGTTCCAACATTTTAATATTAATTAGTAACAATTATGACATTTACTCGAAGCGAATTGTTATTAAACAGAAACTCTAGGAATTTATCGAATTTAATTGTATAAAGGTAACGTTTAAAGGTGAAATATTCTTCACTGAGCTAAATATAATTATATAAATTTGCAAATTAAAACTGGAAATAGAAATACAACATTTTTACATGATTTAACGTTTAAAAGTATCTTTGAAATTAATTGTTTTAGTCTATTTACAAGTAGAATGTAATTTTATGTTGATACATTGAATTTATATTTTTTTGAATACGTTAAGATTATTTAATTAATTTTATTCATATTAAGGATCAGTTATAAAATGATTCGCGATACTAACACAGAGTGCAGCAGTGCACAGCTACAGTTCAATCCTGTACAAGTCGATAAATATATTCAATTTTGAAACTAATATTCAAGAAACTACAACCAAAATCGAAATTAGCAACACAAATTTTTAAATTAATACAGGAAGATTCTTTTCCAATTTTATGGAAAATTCTACATTTGAAAAATTTTGTAATAACAGACCAATCTATAGGGACAACTAGAACAAATTCTAAAAAAAGCAATTCAATTAAAATTCCACCCTGAAAACTCCGCAACAGCCACCCCCAAGTTGTCCAGAAACCCTCGATAAAGTAGATCAACAGATCCACCTAGAAACGAAGCAGACTGCGCATCTGTGGAAGGCATAGTTCGTGAGCAACCCTGCCCAGACCATCCCCTAAAACGGTGTTCCTCGTGTCGCACCCTAATCATCAAGTTCGAGCATCACCCATTGCTTCGACCGAACACGAACATCTCGTAAACGATTAGAAGAAAGATTGCACGAATAAGGGACATACTTTGTGAAGAATAAATAAGGTCGAGTGAAAGGGTTGTTAATTAATAAGACGATCATGGAACAGGGTGTGTATCGATGGATCGGGCGGCAAGAAAGGAAATGCATTTACTGGCGAGCGTCTGCGTGCTCATATTGATCTGTGGCGGTGGCTGTGGAGTGTCTACGGGTGGGACACCTGAAGAAACCTGTCAAAAATGCATCTTTGTTTGCGACTCACGCGTTACATCCTAATCTCCGCGGTATTTTGTATCGGTAAGATACTAACGCGATATTCTAAAAGGACAGTGAATACATTCGCGATATTCTATGGACCTTTTCAGGTCTCTGTTCCGAGGATGAGGAGAGGTTGGTGCGAGATCTGTTCAGAGGGTACAATAAACTCATCAGACCTGTGCAGAATATGACGGAGAAGGTGCACGTGAATTTTGGACTCGCTTTTGTCCAGCTAATCAACGTGGTGAGATACCTGATTCATCTTTGTTTTAGGAAACAGTTTGTTCAAATTAGGGTGTGGAGGGAAACTTATACAACTTGTTCAGAGCTTTCTGAATGAACAGTAAAAGATTTGATGCTGATTCATTAAATTTTGAAAAGAAAAAACCCATTGGCATCATTTGGAAATAGATTTCTAAATAATATAAGTTATATATTTCAGAATGAAAAGAATCAGATTATGAAGTCGAACGTGTGGCTGAGATTCACCTGGACGGATTATCAATTGCAATGGGACGAAGCAGACTATGGAGGAATAGGAGTCCTTAGGTTACCACCGGATAAAGTATGGAAACCGGATATAGTACTGTTTAACAAGTACGTATAGCTGTACTTATGTCTCCTAAGCGAGATAATAATTTACTACTAATAATGATATGATAATATAATAATCGTACTTACCAGCGCTGACGGCAATTACGAGGTACGGTACAAGAGCAACGTCCTGATCTATCCACACGGCGAAGTGCTTTGGGTGCCTCCAGCAATCTACCAGAGTTCCTGTACCATCGACGTGACGTACTTCCCCTTCGACCAACAGACCTGCATCATGAAGTTCGGATCGTGGACATTCAACGGGGACCAAGTATCTCTGGCTCTGTACAACAACAAGAATTTCGTCGACCTGTCAGATTATTGGAAAAGTGGCACCTGGGACATCATTAACGTCCCGGCATACTTGAACATCTACAAAGGTGAATTCCCAACGGAAACTGACATCACCTTCTACATCATCATCAGACGCAAGACACTGTTCTACACGGTGAATCTGATCCTTCCCACGGTTCTAATCTCGTTCCTCTGCGTGCTGGTCTTTTATCTTCCCGCGGAGGCTGGCGAGAAAGTGACCCTTGGTATCAGCATTCTTCTGTCGCTGGTTGTCTTCCTGTTGCTCGTCAGCAAGATTTTACCACCCACATCTCTGGTACTTCCGTTGATCGCTAAGTATCTCCTGTTCACCTTCATCATGAACACTGTCAGCATCCTGGTGACCGTGATCATCATCAACTGGAACTTCCGTGGTCCTAGAACACACAGAATGCCACAATTGATTAGAAAGATATTCCTCAAGTGTCTGCCGACTATACTGCTGATGAGAAGACCGAAGAAGACCCGTCTCAGGTGGATGATGGAAATTCCAAACGTCACATTGCCGACTTCTACATATTCTGGCAGCCCCACAGAGCTACCTAAACATCTGCCAACATCGTTGACCAAGCCGAAGATGGAGATGATGGAATTGTCCGATCTTCATCATCCGAATTGTAACATCAGTAGAAAGGTTCATCATACCACCAGTGGGTCTAGTGCAGCTGGTGGTGAAGGTTTGACTGACAGAAGAGGATCTGAGAGCTCGGACTCTGTACTACTTAGCCCTGAGGCTAGCAAGGCTACCGAGGCTGTTGAATTCATTGCTGAACATTTGAGAAACGAGGATTTGTACATACAGGTGAGAATTTGTTAATTTGTTCTATTTAGAGTGGGGAGTTAGGAAATTAACATATCAAGTATCATAGTAATCATAGGTGACTGATGCTTCAAGTTTAATGTAATTTGATGATTAAAATACATTTTTATATCAGTAATGTAGAGCGGTAATTTAAAAGCTTAAACTTGAAAATTAATTAGTGCAGTTCATTAAGTATATATTATGATTGTAATTATTCCAAATATGACTTTCATTTTCTAATTCAAATTTTTCACTTGTTATCTTATAGAATTAATATGGAATTTTTTGAAATGATGATTAAGAAACTTTTTAATCAGCAATTATTGTTCACAGACCAGCCATATGATTATAATAATTATTATTTCATTTTGAACGTGGCAGATACTAATTAATTTTGATAATTGCTCACGATTTACACCTCGTATTCAAATGACACATTTGATTATAATTTGTTATTTTAATAATATTAATAATGTTTCAGACAAGAGAGGATTGGAAATACGTAGCGATGGTAATCGATCGACTGCAGCTTTACATTTTCTTCATCGTGACAACTGCGGGTACCATCGGGATCCTGATGGACGCGCCTCATATTTTCGAGTACGTGGACCAGGATCGTATAATAGAGATCTATCGTGGCAAATAATTCCATCACAATCGTCGCCATAATTTACGTTCGATTTAATTCTATCATTTTTATAACAATCAAACGCTTAACGCAACATCAATTTAAAAACATTGAATTTCTTAAACGTTACTTCACATTAAGAATTATTCATTTGTGGACAATCGTTTATTCAAAAACTTCCAGAAAACATTTAAATAAGTCTTTTATGATAGCTTAATATTATTCATTCGTTTCTTCCAATTAAAATAATATTTCCTTTCATTTTCTTTTACCAAACAGAGAAGAGCCATGAATTAATCATGAAAGTCAAAAAAACGCTCAGAATTCCATCGATATTTTATAAGAACCAATCTTTCTATCGATGAAAGATTATCAACGATAAAAAAATAGACAAATCGTGTTCACGAATTTGCCAAGGAACGAAGTTCAATGCGTCAGAGCGTATTAATTAGACTAATTAAATTGAACGTTAGAACATTATTAATTTATTAAATTCCAATTTCTACTATATTATATTATATCACGTAATGTTCAGTAATTTTTGAGAAAAAAAAATGTTGTCGACGAAAAGCGACAGGCATGGGTTCCCAAATATTTTAATTATTGTTAGAATTAATCATTGATTGTCTTCCTTGGAAATCTTCATCACGAGCATGCTGAAGTGAGTGCGGATTAAAGTCAACGTTAAAAATGATTTAACGTTTCATTGATATTGGTCATTCTTAGATTGAGCAATCGTTTAATCGGGATTAAGGATAAACATAGAGCGTTAGACATCAAATGATTTTGATATCAATACCGTTGCCGTTCTATTATAACCTGGCAGGACTCGTGTATGATAACTTATCGCGATGCAACATCGAAGGGTCGTGATTGGATTTTTCTACCCCATCTCGATCATCTATCCTCGGTTAGTTTGGGAAAAATTAGAACAATTTAATTCTAATTAATTTAACCATATTTAACGCTATCCGACTCGATTGTCTTCTAAGCACAAACCTAATTAAATTCAATTACAGCTAAAAATTTATAAATCAATTTAAGAAAGACTTGCATACGTTTTTCATTTGTAAATTGAAAATTGGATAAAATATTTTTGGTCATCTAATTTTTTCCAAATTTCTCGGTTCCTCAAACTTGAAGAGGAATTCCAAACAGAATCGTGAAACCTGCTAACGACACTGCAGAAGCGCACATTAGAAGCACAATGTCACGGCCCTGCGTACTTAATCGTTATACATTATATAGGAAAAAAAAAGATAAGGAACTGTGTATCGTGCGTCTTACACACACACACACACATACACGAACATACACACATATACACACACACAAAGTAAATATGATATTCACGCAACATGTATATTGTACAGATGATTGTTGAAACGGTCATGTTTTCTCTAATAGAAAGTTTGCTCCATTTGCGAAGAATATTTAATGGTTGTCGAAAAAAAAAAAATAATAATAATAATAACGAACGTTGATTTTTCTCATGAGTATTGCCTACAGTTGTGCCTCGCGATATCAGCCCGATTGTTACATGTGATGTTAATGTATGTTATAACACGTATACGAGCCACGATTTTATTTCGCGAAACTGCAAAAGCGCAGCAAACACTCAAAAGTCACGCTCAACATCGATTTTCTTTTCTGAAATTGATATCTCATTTTATATCTATACATTGCATTGCACTAGAAGAGATACTTTAATCATTTGCGATTATGTTGATTAGACAATTAATTAGCAATTTGTATAAAAATTTTAAAGACTATGAATGGTAACTTTGCTTTTGAAATTATTATAATTAAAAATAATTTCAATTACTTAATTAAAAATAATTTGAATCAGTAGAATACACTTGTGATACAAAATCGCAAATGATTAAAATAATAATTGCATGTCATTTTGATAATTTTATACTTAACGATGAAGATGTAAAAACCTGAATTTCAAACACTCTGAATCTCTACTAATGTACGAAACGTGTTTGACGGAAAGGTTCAGGTGAAACACAAAGCACGAACTATATAAAAAATGAACTAAAAAAGAAACGAAAAATTCATCGTTAAACGCGATTTGTTGTCCTCGATGCTTGTATGGAAAATTGATGTGCATGAGTATCGCTCGTGGGTTCGAATTAAGACAGAGTGACACGTGTCTTCCTTGAACGAGATACAATAACTAGAATTTAGTCCCCGAGAATGATGTAATTAGATGATGCTTATTAATTTCTATACATTTTACTTCCATATATTTTATAGCGTTGTTCACTCGTGAATGTGAGAAGGGAATGCCTGTGTATGAGAATCACAATGAGACGATTTTAAAATGCCATTTTATGCGCCACGTGCAATTGAGGATGTCAGTTCGATAATTATCATTTTTTCTTTTAATTAACACGTTGACTACCATAAGTGGGTGACACTTGAATTTCCATAGGTAATCCATCGCCTATATTATTAAAATCCTTTGACTCATCAAATTAGAGATAATCATATTAGATAATTGAAAATAAAATAGATAAAAATATTAATTAATACAATTTTCATTAGCTTCAGAGTGGCAGTGAACGTGTTAAAGAACGTTTGCTCAAATTCTCCATATTGCAGGGTATTTTGAAAAAAAAAAAAAAATGAATCAAAATTTCTTGATACAATGAAAAACTTTTAACAACTGGCATCTTCGATTAACCCTAGAATATTAACGCAAGCAATTTTCACGTCCTTTACCTTTTTTATCCTTTTTCGAGAAGTATTAAACATCTGATTCGACGATAATCGTTTAAGTTTTAACAATGTAACAAATATTATATATAGATATATATATACATTTATAATTATTATAAATGATAGTAATAATAAATGCGACTGTTAAAAAACACGTGAATATTAAATATTCTAGGGTTAATGTTACTTTTACAGTATATTATAGTATATAACAATTAGAAAGTCAACGACAACATTGTCATATATTATTTATTAAATTCTTTATCAATTACGAAGGTTTCGTTATTATTTTATTTGACTGAGATTCTCTCATTGATTCTCACGTACAGATATCGAAAGCTTGTTTCTATTTTAGCTGTAAACGTAGTTAACAAATTCAAATCGAATAAGTTAGATCGTTTTATCAGCGTTACAACAATCAAACGAACGTGTTGAAAAATTGTCGCACAAACAAGCGTGAATAACGCCAGTCGATGGAAAGCTTTAATGAATCACTGATTTCTTCCACTTGAACAATTACAGAAACGTTACATCACTGAATTTCAACACTTAATCGCTTTTATTCAGAATTTCATCCTGACTTTATACTTTAAAGCAGAGTGGGCCATTATTTACGATAATTAATAATATTTTATTTGAATGATCTTCGATGAAAAAATTATTTATTATTCGTAAATAGGCCTAGTTCTATTTTAAAATACCTCATAACTAATCTATTCTAATACTTTTTGTCGAATTATGTATTATCGAAAATTGTGAAACATTAATATTGCCAAATGATTAAAAATGATGAACAATCATTGTAGAAAAAATTTTTGGAAAAGATATTCAATGATGAACGTTCAAAAGAAGGGAAAAAGAAGAAAATTGTTAAATTTCAAACGAAACTATGGTTGAATCTACTAGAGAAAAGGATGATCGTACTAGCGAATGTACATTAGCTAATGATTACGTAAATACGAAAGAAGGAAGAAAATATGAAATATGAAATATTGTTGAGCCGAACATTTGTACTTTATTATGCATGAGAAATGCTGCGAATATGTTCATGCGATGAAAAAAAAAATTGATTTCTCATTAATAGACGTAATGTTAAGATAGATTTATAGGTAGTTCTTTTTACAAGGAAATAAAGATTATTAAATGAATCCAGCTTTTATATGATCCCATATCCTTAAAAAATAATAATAATAATAATTTTACTAAATATTAGACTGTTGCAAGTCCCACTATTTAAATAATAAAACAAATATTTCTTTCTCAATAACAGTATGGAGAAAGAATAAAACGGAAGACGTTTATTTTCATCTCATTTATTTCAACAATTTCATAATAACGTAATAATGTTTAATAATATTACAATGCGGCGATTATGTGCTCACCAGTTAACAGGGATTTTTATATCGATCAACGTTTTTCTGCCTCGAAAAAGAGCCCAGCGTAGAAATATAACAAATTTATTATTATTATATTTAATATTATCATTATCATTCTTATTCTTACTTGTATTATTACATATTATTATTAGTGTATTTTTATTATTACCTTATTTAACGTTTCTTCAATATGAATTTACTATTTATCAGGCCAGGCTGTTGTCGAGGCATAATTTTTTTTTTTTTTTTTTTTTAAAGTCAAGTGAGATCGAGGGTGAGTCAGTTCAATTGCATCGTCCCACCAGGGTCTAACGAAAAAGGGAGTGTATCTTTCTTTGATCTCTTCTTTTCTTTTTTTCATCGAATATTTTCTTTTCTCCCTCCATAGTCTTGCAAGGTAACGCAAATTTTGTTTTTGTTTCTCGGTTTATCTTTATCTATCTCTCTTGCACACTTTTTTTTAAATCGTTCTCACTCTCCTCGTCTCACGTTCATTCTTTCTTTCTCTCTCTCTCTCTCTCTCTCCCTCTCACACATTCAGGCTCGAAATATCTCTTTAATCCATCGTGTTAAATAGACTCGCACGTGTGTAATTTAATTAGCTTCGCAAACGACTTCGACGACTGGTGTAACGGTGGACAATAAAGAGACGATCATTCGTTTTAAAATAGATCATTAGGGAAGAGAAGGAGCATAGGTAGAGAAGAAATAGATCGTGCGTTCGCACATCATCGATCACTTTGTCGCTAACAAAACACCGTCTCGAACCTCGTGTGTATTAAAATCACCTCGCCTGTACCGTTTAACCCTTTCCGTATTACATCTCTGTATCATTTAAACTTCCCGGCACAGAGAATTATTTCGAAGAACGATCAAGTTATTTAGCATCCTCGATTTCGTTTTTCATTTCTTTAGTTTAAAGAGCAAAATGATCTCGATTAAAGTTCGAGCCTAACTTTTTCTCTAGTTGACTACGTTGCTTTGAATCACCCCTATGATTACTGCTCGAAGTAATTAACTACGTCTCTATTGATTACAGGCTAGCTTTAATATTCAATTATTCGATTATTGATTCATTTAGTTTAGTTCTTTCTCGGTGTGTATTACGAATATGGCGTTTAGCATTCAATATTTTAAATATGTGTAGATTATATTTAATGGTACACCCTTAATAGTTCGTTTTTTTTTATATATATATGTATATATATATATATAGTTTTCTCCCTTTTTTTGAATTTAGATCTTACACCTCTTCCCTTTTCACCTTTCCTTTGTTGTTTATTCCCAAGCGCGTATATGCTTGTTCTTTATTATTTCTTTTAAGAAGATGATTCTTCTTAAAGGAAAACAGAGGGAGATTTCTCATGGTGAGAGAGCACGAGAATTTTTCAAAGTCGATCTCTTTTGTTCGTCGAAACGAAGGGAACGAGAGTTGCCTACCGGAAATGATCGCGGAGTTGGTGAACCGTTTATTTTTCACGTATTATATCGTACTACAAACGTTTTCTCATTGTAAAAATTCATTTTAAATTCAGTTGGCTGTGACGCGTTTTTCTTCTTTTATTTAGTTTATTTTTAGCTAACTCTTTCTCCTTTCGGTACGCTTTTGTTCGGAGTTTCACCTGATACTTTTCCTCGTTAGGTACAGCGGAGTCTGGGTCACTCGAGACCCAAGCTTACAAAACGTATACGAGGATATTAACCTAAAGTTAAATGTATCATTTTTAAACGAAAGGGTTTCTTATATTGCAAGAATAATTTTCATTGGAACAGTGTAAAATTAAATTAAAATTGGGGCTCTCTCCAGGGTCCGCCGTTCGAGAGTTAAAAGTTCCAGTGAAACTCTTGACAACTGTCAAGCACTATCACCGTTTTCGTCGCTCAACAATGTTTACTAGCAAAAGTTTCAACATTATTCACCAATAATAAATTCAAATGAAATAGTTGAAAGAATCGTATAAATTCGATAATTTGCTGAAAAGATTATTGGAAGGATGCAAATGTTTAATACTTTAATGATAAAAATGAATTAAACTCCTCCTGAAGTTAACAAAATCTTTTCTTATGGTTTTGTATAGAACTACCAGCCAAAACAGGACTACTTCGTTCAAAATTATTTCATATGACAAATAATTAAAATAATTACTCATTCGTATTTTAAAAAGTATCCAGGACCTAAAGAGATATTCTGTGTATTGGTTTCATTTTTTAGAATTCTTTTTGGATTATTTCAATAATTAGGTTCAAATATTAATTAACATCCTTCCAATAATCCATAGCAGGACTCCCAATACAAAATGATACATAATTATAGCTAGATCTATTTGCATCGAGTCCATCAAACACCTTAATTATTTAGAACGAATCACTTAAACACACACAGTCTCGATCTAATAATGTACAACAGGTGTCTGCCTCCGTCAGTCGCCAGTCTCTCTCTCTGATTAGCCCCATCTCTAATTAAGCGCGAGTTAATTACATGTTAAAGATAGCTACAAATTTGGCACTTGAACATTGCGTGTCTCCGCTAATCTTTAGTTTTAATCTAAATTCCGAATTCACCGCTGCCATGAACATTCATGACAGTGTTTGTATCGCGAAACACCACTAATCATCTTCATTTTTCCTGATTTTCTGTAATATTCCAGATGGATTATAACCAATGAGGGTTGTGTCTAGGGGGGCTGATTGTTAGCGATGGAAAATTTAATGTTTTTGTTAATTTTTCAACTAATTTGATTATTGTAAAACGGAGAATCACTTTGATGCGTATTTGAAGTCAAATATTCTTGATAAATTAGAAACTAGAAGATTTAATAAAAATTGGAAGTCTTGAAAATTTTAGAAAATGCTTAAATATCTAAATAACTTCTTTAAATCAAATTTCAGGACAACATTTGTCAAGGTAAATATATCAATAATTAAAAAATTAAACACTTTTCAAAAAGAGATTATTTTTCTTAAGAAATTAAGCATTGATGTTATTTTATTACTTCTGAAAGATTAAGATCTTCAAGACCTCCAATACTTCTAATTTCAAATGATATACAAAGTGACTAACCCATCGCTAACGATTACGATTTTCTCCACGTTACATTTCTCCGGCTTCATTCAAACTTCTCGCATGCGTGTCTGTTATATAGAATGCACGTATATATATGCGTTATATGTATATATTTATATATTTATACATATACATAAGGTGCAGCCGAAATGTTTATTCGAAAGATCGAAAGCTTTTTAAAATCGAGGCTTCTAATTTACTTTCTTCTACAAATTTACCTCAAGTAATTTTAAGATATTTCGAAATTAAAAATATGACAAATATAATTATTACAATTGAAAATAAATATGCTTCTAGATAATTAATTTGAAAATTAAGTTGAAAAATTTATGTTAATTGAAAATCCCTCCAGAGCTGAATAAGTAAGTGAAGCAAGTCCTAAGTAGTTAAGTCAATCATAAGTCAGACGCAAGTAATAATTTAATGTACAGCTCTCGGAAATTGTACAATTCATTTAAAATCTATCTAACTTAAATTAATAAG